CCTCTCTCATTAGAGATTTTACCTGAAGCTGAAAGAAGCAAGGTCAATTGTTAGTGTAGGACTCTCCTAAGAGGTTTTGCCGTGACATGGCAGTTGAGCTTACACTTAAATGGCCATTGTAGTGATACAAAAAAACTCCAGTTATTTAAACGTGTGTAGGGATTTGAAATAGTGCGCAAGGTTTTTATTGTATGTATTGGGACTTATATGTACTATAGTCATAGATGTAGCCCAGGAGTAGTGGGAGTTAGTGTGTGTCAGTATAGCTGTGAGTTTGTGTATTTGTCAGTGTGTGCAAACATACAAAATGTAGCCCTACTCACAGTCACTCATGTGAAACACACTGACACACACGCACAATGAAAAACACATAATCTTACTGATTTGAAACCCACTCACTGACAGACACACACTCACAAATCCATTTTATTTCTTGTGGTTTCATTTTGTAGGCCCATCCAGCCTCCATGCCTTTGGGACCTACCTATCCTTGGGGTCCAGTGGCTCCTGTAATCTTCAATTTCCTCAATTCTCCCTTGTGGCTGTTTAGTGATGCTGGGGCCAGAGTGAAGTCCTATTCTACCTCTTGGCATCACCAAATGGTGTGAGAGGGAGCAGTGAGGAACTGGAAGAGCAGGAACATCAGCGCTCCATCATTGCCACCTTCCTTCTCTCTCCCTACCAGGAGGTTTCGTCAGAGTAGGCACCAACTGTCTAAATAATCAGGTCCCTACTCTGCCTTCTTGAATAAGCTCCTGCTTTAGGGGTACAAAAGGGCCCCCTGTGACAAGCGGAAACCAGGGACTCAATCCCACTCGCGCCCCCTGTAATTACACAATTGCCTTGTTCTTCTCAGTGCCCCCCTTTTGGCACTTGGGCCCTGTGTCCAGCCCTGCATCGGTATTTAAACTCACTTTGAAGGATATTGCACATGCACAGCAAAACACATCACTGCGCCAATCAGAAATGAGGAACGTTCAGCGCAATCAGGCATTGTGTGGAGACGCTGAATGCTAGTGACTGCCACTAGTGTCCATTTAAGTCCACGTGGACTCAAAGAGGCACCACTATAGTCTGCCTGACTTTGTAATTAACTAACTGATGACAGAGCTTTACTACGTTTCCAAGATTTTCTTTTTATTTTGGTCCTGCTTTTTTGTGTTTTGTTCTCCTTTTTTTGATCTAAAACAAAAAAGTGGATGCAGAGGTACATATGTAAAATTGTAGAAAAAATGTACAATAGAGTGTTCTAAGACGTGACTTACACAAAGGCTGCAATGGGTAAATCAAGCAGTGTTTTGTAAAGGACGGATCTTTACTGTAGTACAAACAGTAACCACTAGGTGGCAAACAATGTCAGGCATAAAGAGAGGTGTGAACGCTATGCAAATCCGCCTCTTTCATGGAACTCAGGAAATATTTCTTATTCCCGCATATTGCATTTTCCTTAACTCCTTATCATCAGTGTTGGCTTTTTCCAAACACAGGTCACTTCTGGCATTAACAGGATATTATTCCCAGGATACATTTTCTATAAATATTGTTTGGAGTTTATTATAAATAGTCTAGTGAATGCAGTGTAAGGTTTTCTATTTATTTTATCTTTTTTTTTCTTTTTTTTTTCTGAAACCTAAGTAATTAAAATGAACAATCTTGGATCACATTAAAGGAACCCTATAGTGTCAGGAATACAATCATGTATTCACAGCACTGTAGTGTTGGTGTGGCTGTTTAGGTGACTGACCCCACTCTGATCGCCTTGAAAGAGTGATATTCATTCACCTTTTTAAACAGTCCGTGGCTGGTTCCACCTTCATGGCTGAGATAATCCACCTTGATGATCTCAGCCAATCAAATGCTTTCCCATAAATGTTTATTCACTCTACGCCAACCAGCATCTCCTCTCAGAGATGCATTAAATCAATGCATCTTTATGGGAAACATTCAGTGTCTCTAATCTCTGCATGGGGTGTTACTAGCCAGCAATAAAAACATTGAATAGGTAGTGCTTATATTGAAAAGCCTACAGGGATTACATTAAGCTTTAGTGGTTCTAGTGACTATAGTGTCTCTTTAAATAGTAAAGTGGGTGTCCCAGAGAACACGTCAATATTTGCATGCCTTCCTGTGACCAACCCACAACCTTTACACAACTGTGTCACATGACCTTCAATAGGAAACACTGAAATATTGAGTCCTGTGGTTACTCACATAGACATAACTGGGACGGAGTCAAAATAGAAAGCAAAGGGTATTCCTGTTTACATCAATTTTAAGAGACACTGAAAGTATTTTAATCCTCTTTTTTTTTTTTTTTATAATGCAACCAACCCAGTCGTCACCTCAAGACTGATATCAGGGCTTAGCTTTGAATTACAAATTAATGATAAAATACATCTTTAACCTATTTGTGGCAGATGGCTTTTCAAGATTGTCATAAAATAATGGGATATGTCTAGCTGCTTTCTACAGAGGGATTAATTATCTAATTAATCTTTTTAGCCATTTATTTTAGGAGTGTACTTTCCAAAGGGATAAGGACCGCTGTTCATTGACGCCTTTTGCTCCTGGAAATGCTCCAGACATCTGTTTCCAGCAAAACATGTACATCAGGTTAATTTTATACACACCATTTTAAAGGCAAGTGTTATGGTACACTGGCCTGACCTCGTGTTCTGGGGTATACACGGTCAGTATACCAGTGTGTATCTGGACAGTCATTCAGGGTATTGAGCCCAAACAAGGCCTGCACATCAATGATCAGAATTGAAAGGGGCGAGTAGACAGACACTAACGCTTTGCCAAAAATGTTTTTACATCGAAAGGTAGGTACATGTGCTGGATTTATTCAATGGCAAACCTTAGAACACTACTTGAAGGAAAACAGCAAATTTTCGTTCTACTCCTTACATTTTGTGTTAAATTTTGCAGAATTCGCAAAGTCATCTGAAGGTTAGACTCAGCATACACAAGAGTACAGCATTGAGTACTTTCTCTGTATATCTCCTGATTTGTCCATAAACACCTTATGCCAATATGTCATGCCTAGTTAGCTTAGGCAGATCAAGGGCAGCTGGTCGGTTCCAGAAATGGGATCCAGAGGTTAGATATGTGCTTCAGAATCATGCATTTGTTGGCTCTATTAACCATATCTATGTGAAGGATGACTGGGGAACTCAAACTCGTAACCTTCCTAGGACTCCGTGAGATCTCAATCCTTCTCGGGTCATGACATTTTCCCTTCAACTATTGTGTCCTCTCCTCGCTACCCATGAACAGTGTATTGCTACTGTGTTCTGTGATATCAATTGAATCACCACAAATTTTAGATAATGAGGATCCATTCCAGGTCCACCTGGGGTACATGGGCAAAAAACTCTGCCAACATCAACAGTAAAAAGGAGCCAAGCACAGTTCAAATCTCAATAAGTTGATCCTTTTTTATGATGTCAGATAGAAATAGCGTTTCGGCCACATGTGGCCTTTATCAAACTTTTTTTTTCAACTCAATTTGAAGCACAAAGACATTCTATGATATCATGCCATGCTACCTAACTTATAGACACTAGGGAACAGAATTTTGCTGCACATCCTTCTGACAGTTACTTGGGGACATCACCCATCTTCCCCACCCATTTCAGCATGCTGTATTATTGAACTTTCTTTTTATATCGGATGGCGCCTTTGAGTACATTTAAAAATTAAAATAAATAACAATATCCTCCTTTCACTTGCACTACCTGTAAAGACCAAGGGTTAAATATTCCCTCAAAGCCCCCCTCTCCACCTCAGCAGCGCATATGGGCAGCTCTATACAGCCTTACGATCATGCACTGCATTGGCTATTACATTTTATAATATCCATAAAGAACTGATTGGTCCTTACATGATTAAATGTCAACACAAACATCTCTGCCTATCTTTCCTTAGTCAAAGAACTCCTTCCAATGCCCCATAGTGTTAACATTTGATTTGTATATGAGTTTCATCAAGCTGTACTCTGCTCTGACCTCTGATAACACTTATACCAAGAAGGCTTTTTAACAATCAAAGATTATGTTAGCTTTAGTGTACTAATAAGCTTATTTGTAGTAATGACAATAGGAGAATATTTAGCATTAACTTTCTTTACTCGGCACAGAGAACCAATCATGAACAAACTGACAACAAACCAAGAAGAAGTCACCCAGAAGAAAGGGCCAGGAAAAAATATCCCTAGCCGCCTGTAATAGTTTGCCGACCAGAAACCCCAAAAGAGTCCCAGCCATTAGGCAGAAGCGCCTGTCCAAGAGCATTGGATACAGGTACCCTCTCAGGTGCCTGAGGAAAATCAGGCCATAAAGCAGCAAGAGAGCATCGACACAGGAACACATCCCTCACTGTGCTCTCTGTAGCGGCAGCCAACTGTAGAAGTCTGGGACCTGAAGAATGATGCGAGATGCAAACAAATCCAGGTGGAACGGACCCCACTGGATGCCCCTGAGGTGGTAGATGTAATGTTAATCCAAAACAAAATACAGCAATTGGATCTCCCCATTTCCAGACTGTGAATGGCAAACTCCTCCTGTAGACAAACCGCTGTTGGTAGTCCCCCAGCTCCAAAGGCTGGTGTCCAACTCCAGAACGATATCCAGACAATTGCCAAAAACGGTTATACTGGTCCATGCTTGCATGCTGGTCAGCCACCACTGGAGTTCCATCCAAGTAGCTGGAGTGGTATGGAATTGCAATGAAGCATGCTGCGAATCTCTTTGTGAGTAGCAGAAACCTTCAAAGAAGGAAGTCAAAGCGTACAAGATGTTGAATCTATTTTGAAGCACAGGGACCAGATAGTATGCAAGGGGGACCAGCACAGATACGGATAAATTGACTACGAAACCAAGAGACTTTAGCAAGTCCACCATATAACTGGTGTGACCACATAGTATTGCCTTGTCACAACAGAATGTCATCCAGGTAGATTATACATCTGAAGTGAACAACAACCGACTTCAGAATTTTTATGAAGCACCATAGAGCCGAACGGAGTCCAAATTGAAGGAAGGTGAAATGCCACGGTTTCCCTTGCCACAGAAAAGAGATAAAGGTTTCCGTATCCCCTTATGTGGGGACAGAGAGATAATGTCTTTGAGGTCCAGATGGATAAACCAGTTACTGTCCTGTGGATAAACTTTCCCAATCCTGGAAATAAAATGAGAAAGGAGGCATGCAGTCGGAAAAGTAAATTACAGTTACTAGAGGGTTTCATACCTGAGGCAAATCTGGGCCAAGTTCAGCCCTGGTCTCCACAGCCTCTGTCCTAAAATATTAAGAGCATTGTCTGCTTCCCACCTCTGAGTAGAAGGGTTGCGGCTGTGCCGCCTGGGGCCGGATGGCTAGAAGCGGCTGGTGGCACTGTCCTGTTGCCATCCAGCCCTGCCAAAAACACTACTGGAGGTGTAGCCCCTGAAGACTTCACTCATGGATGACTGCACTTTGTTCAGGAGGTGATCACTTGTGCCTGCGGGCCGACTTCCTTGGCTTCTAGATCTGCCATTTATCTGTCTATGTGGAACAGTGCTGCTTGGCGCCTCTCCGAAGAGAGCGCCACTTTAGTATTTACCAGGAAACCTCTGTTCCCACACCCTGATGTTGTGTGGCCATTCACTTACCATGTCGACATCAAAAGCTTCGGCTCTGGATTATGCTCTATCTGCCGGTACATGATACAGATCAGTGGCCCAATGGCATCCAGGAGCTTGTCCTGCGCACTCCTACACCCTCTTTCGACTTCTTTTTGTAGGTCCCTGCCACCACAAGCCATAAAGGCCAGCATCAACTGGTCAAATTCAGGTGTATATGTAACCTTGTTTGGCAGTGAAGGGCGTGGGCACACAGAATATGTGCGGACAGAAGTGCATACACTTTTGTGAGGTGATCTGATGGCGTCCAGTCCCCAGAGTGTGAATGTTTGATGTTCCGTGGGTCAAATATGGAATCACCTGTAGTGTTCATGAAAACCTCAGCGTCCACTTGGGAAGGTGTCTACGCACGTCTACTTGGTAAGGTGTCTCCGCACCATCTACATCTTTGTTCATCTGGGGCTCACCCATAAAGGTCTTCCAAAAGAACATAGAATCCAACTTGGAGTTAAAATCCCAAATGCGTGTATCCAAATCATGAGTCGGCCTGCCACTCATCGAGGACCAAGAAGGAATGGGGCAGTTATAGTTTCTCATCTGAGGAGATATCAGGTGCCAGCAGTGTAGTCAACTCACCTGACTCTGTTTGACTTCCCTGAGGGGCACATTGCCTTTGGTAAGACTGGGTTTAGCCCCAACACGTTTCCAGTGGTGTTTTGCAAGTGGGAGTGCTCCTTGGAGGAGGCATCAGACTCCTCTGAATTGGTCCAATAGTGGGCATGTTTAGAGCCAGACTTAGTGGGTGAATGCTTTGGATAGCGCTTTCTCAACAGATGCATCCATAGCTGCGTTAATCAATATTTGTATCACAGTAGTCGGTGCTCACCCAAATAAAGGCAACACAAGCTAATTAGGAAACTTACAGACCGTAACGGTAAGTGGTAGTACGCAAGAGGGACCACGAGGGAAGTAAGTATCCAGGTGTGTAAAAGTAGCCTGGAGTAAATATTGCAAGTATAGTCTTCGCTCAGCAGCACCAGGATGTAAATACTCGCAGAGGGGGCTCGCCCTCAAAAAACAGCATGACAGGGTAACCCCAACCTTGTGCATGATCTCCCTTTTGGAGTAATGCACCAATCTAACCTGGTTCCCCCAGATATGAAAGCTTAGATGGTATGTTGTAGCAAGCAGGCAAGTGAGCGTTTTTAGAATCCGGCTCATGGTCCCAGAAAAATGGAACATGAGGGCAACAGAAAATGGCAGTCAAGTAGAATGTATTAAATGCCATCCCGCAACACTACACCAAGACAGGAACAGAATAAAAACTGGTACTGAAAGAGAGAGGGACCCAGGACCAGGGACAACCCACAGAAGGTCCATTTACCCACAAAATAAATACATTTAAGTAGATACATTTGAATAAAGAAATTCATAATAAGTCAATGATGCAACTAAATAAAGGCAGATAAATACATACAGTTAAAAGAGGTAAACACACTAAATAGTCAGAGAGCAGTAAACCAAAACTCTTAACTGATCTTATGATGGAGCAGCAAAGAAAGAGGAGAAGCTTTGGTTCCATGTGCCTCTTATACTCTGGTTCTCTTTAAAATAGAGGGGTATCTTTATCTTCTATCTGCTTGTCCCAAGAAAAGTGGATGCTTTTCGATTTTGCTTTAAACAGTCTGTTACAAAATGCCTTTTGTAACTGTTCCTTTAAATGACAAATTGCTCTACTCCCCTGGATTATGGAGGAGCCTATTTGCCAGCCTCCTTCCCCATGACTATGGACCAGGTGTGTATGGCCCTTTAAGCCAGTCGGTGGGCATATTGGGGCTTATGGACTTTTTATGGGACTGGTGCTGGCCCTTTAAGCACCTTTTTGGGACATAGAGAAAATTGGGACAATGCCCCTTTAAGACGGTGTCCCCAGACTTGTTTGGGACACTGCCCCTTTAAGACGGTGTCCCCAGTGTCCCCAGATTTGGTTAAAACCCTTTGTTCCTGGCTATTTCCCACTTGGTTCAGTAAATGGGGCTCACTGAACCAAGTACCACACAGGCGGACCACCCAGAAGTGGAAGTGTGCAGGCAATTTACCTCCCAGGTTGGGAGCCTGCTGTAGGTAAATTGCCGAACGCTGGGTGGCCGCTGTTCGCGCAAACGAAAACGTGGTGGCGCCATCTTTGTTCATTCAAATACGGTCAGCGGTGTGTGCAGCCAAATTCATGGAACTAAAATCGGCTGCACATTTCCACGAACACCGCTGACCTGTACCTTCTCCCATACTGAACTTTCAGCCGCAGAGACGAAGTCCCATTCGGCAATGGGACTTAGTCATTTTTTCAGCCTAAAATAGACCGACCGCACAGCCCAAATCTATGGAACTGTTTTGGGCATTAAAATGTCCACTGGAGGGATTTGTGTGATTTTTGGTTATGTTTATAATTAAAGTTTGCTGATTCTGAATATGTACGTTAATGAAGATTGGATATATGGTTTTAAAGTTATAGTACATGTATAAAAACTGTATTTTTCCTGCCTGTGATAATTATGTTAAACCATTGTGTGCCATTGTAACGGATCATCTGGCACCCCGACTGGGTACCTCCGTTGAAGGATGCTCCTAGCGCTTCCTGAGGACTCCAAGCACTGCAGCAGACACCACAACCACCGAACCAGAGAAGCATTGGAATGCTCTCAAGCATATGAATGCTGTAAGCAGCTGAACAGGAAAAGCATGCGATTAGCTTACACTCCTGGCAATCAGCATACAATCCTATTCCCCCAATAACGAGAAGACACTTCGTTTTCAGGTCAAGCAGAACTGACTGTACTGGCACATACAGCCTCTTTTATTCCCAATCCACAAACTTAGTACTGCCCACAGGGTTTTACAGAACAACCAATAACACACGTACATTACACACAGACACTCCCACACAAAATCCTCCCCTCTGCCTGTGATATGATTACTGAACACAATGGTTAATCTAATTATCACAGGCAGAGAAATACAGTAATATAAAACATATTACAGGGACCCCAAAACATGCAATAACCCCATAAAAAATATATATCATCGGAACCGGAGGATCTGGGTGAACCACATATCCAAAATTCACCCAGATCCGTTCAGTAGTTTGGAAGATGCAGTTTAATGCAGATTCCGCAGAACATATACAGGCTATATGAAAAATAATAACTGTATAATGTGTCCCCTGTTGTATAGTTTAAAACTACTGAACGATGTCTTCGTGCACCATATACTGGCGAGATGGCACCGCGTAGAAAAGTCCAGTGTCTGTGAGTTAAAATGGCCGCCATCCATTGTTCTCACCATGTGCCTCTGATATATGAAATGGTGGCCACCCAGTAACTCCACAGTATGTCCCCAGATGGTTCTTAAAGGGCCAGCAGCAGCATAATAAAATACAATATGCCCAAATAATGTCTTTAAAGGGTAATACATCCCAGGGGCCATAGTCACAGGGCAGGAGGCTGGCAATCAGTCTTCTCCAATGCCCAGTGGCGAGGTCGGTTTTGCCACAGCCATAATTAGATCACAGGCAGAGGAAAGGATTTTGTGTGTAATTGCTGGGAGTGTTTTGTGTAAGGTACGTGTGTTGTTGGTTATTCTGTAAAACCCTGTGGGTGGTCCTATGTAAGGAAAACCTGCATAAAATAAGGCCTTTTGGTGCCAAATAAATGAGAATGACTTGACCCTCTAACTTGCAGCCTTGACTCATGTTTGTAGGGGACAGCTATAATCACTACAGGGATTGCTATGCTCTTCATACTCCCTTAGCTACTGAGCTCTTGTAAGAGCTCTTGTTCCTGATCCTGCTTTGCTCTACAGGTCCACCCTGGACCTACTGGAACCTGGAGCCTGGTCGTAGGTCCAGGGTGGATAGCAGACGGCAAGATCTTTGCCCAGCAGCGGCGGTTCGTGGAGTCTGCAGTACTTATGGTGTCTACGCAGTAGTTATGGTGTCTACAATGCTGATGGTCCTTTGTGAGCGCTTGGAGCATCCTTTCTACGGTCCAACTTCCAGCCAGCCTGGAGGCAACCGTAACACAGTCTATACCCAACTCTTATTTTTAAGCTGAACTCCTTATCTTGGCCAAGAATGAGATAACAAATTTTGGTGTGAGAGGTAGAATGGCTGCCCTTTTCTCTTGGAGTCCCCTGGTTCACTGTTCTAAAATGAATAGCTGTATCTACTGGTGGAGAGAGAGAGGGAGGAAGGGGGGAGATGGGACAGAATGCAACTCTGAAGCCACTGGTCTCTGGTTTTGTGAATTTATAATGGAGTAAAATGAATGCCTATTTTTTTTGTTGTGGTTGTTTTATCTTGATTATTAAAGGGTTACTCCAACCACCATGATGACTTCAGTAATTTGAAGTGGTCATAGTGGTACAAGTATGTATATGCAGTGTTTCAGATTGAGATATCTGCAATCCCCAGCACACATGACTTCAGCTGGGCTGCCAGTGTCAATTCTGTGCATATTTTACATATCTCAGTGCCCACTGCACACTGGCAACAGACATAAAAGGAGGAGCTAGCTTTCCCTTGTGTTCATTCCCTCCGACCTCCCTCTGCCGCACATTGGTTAGTTTTGTTTTTTTAGAAACTCACCCTCCTTTTCCCCATTCCCCTCTAGGCTGGCCCAGAGCATGTGCATGCGCTCTGGCCCAGCAATAGGTCCAATTACAAGCTTCTCTATTAAAAGTCTGTGAATTGACAGCGCGGCCCCTGTGCGTCAGTAAGTCAGTTCTGGAAACTTTTTTTTTTAAACAGGTTTTACTCCAAACGGAGGGTGGGGAATTTCTTCATAATGCCCAAAAGGGCATGATACACAAAGAAGCCTCTTCTACAAAGGCTTAAAGTAAATCCAGTTTTTTATATTGTCCATTGTTGCCAGTTGAACACATTAGCAGGCGTTTTGTGCTTTGGTTCAAGGTTATCCTGCCTGATTCTGAGAAGTGTTGTCCGATCACTTAAGTTTTGAGTAGTTGAAGAAAAAAAATTGGTGACAATAGTCACCCTTGTTACAAATGTAAAAGGTTCGATAAGTGGTCTTGTGGGTATACTCTGGATAAGATCAAGAGTGCTTACCAGGAATTACAGTTTTCCAAGAATTCAAAAACCGGTAGAAAAAGGTAGAAAATGTCAACATATGTTGAAATGTTTTTGGCAAGTAGCAGAGAAAATAATGCTTCAACTCTGTAAATGCTTTTCCCATCAGGATGAGACTATTAAGTTGCAAAGTGAAGCGAACTGTGATACTAGGGTCATAAAAAAAAAAAAAAAGCATGGTGAGCCATGCTTGCATTTAAAGTTAATAGGAACAAAGGAAATGCGTAGTAACACACGTTAACAATTATAAATAATTATTTATTCCTATTCTTTACTTCTAAGGATTCATATAGTTTGCTAAATATAATCACAGAAATTAATATCCTTGTAATGTGCGAAATGAAAAGGGATCGCTCAGGAATTGTCTGTATCGAGGGTATCCAAACTGGATAGGGTTGGATGAGGAGGAGGTTAACGAGCCATAAATTCCAGATTAAAATATAGATTAAATTGTCTAAACACCATAACCTCGATCGTGCGCTGTAATGGTTACGGTGCCATCTCCTGTACAAAAGTTAAACTATTTTTGAATAGTTTGGTACTGTATTTACCTGGGTCCACTAGACACCTCCAGTTTGGCCTTTGCATTATTGACATTTAATTTCACCTTTGTTTGGATGGAATTCGGTGTCTGCTCTTTTCTCGGCTGATGAATTTCATAGAAATCAGAGCCAGATTTATAATTTCGTAGAGTAA